TACTCTAAACCCTATCCCCTTGTTCCACCTAGTTCTTCACCTTCATTAGTGTTTACGCTCTCCAAATACTAATAGATAGCTGGTAAGAAGAAATACTCTCAGTCGTCATTTAGCTAGCCCATAAATAGTTACTGCTTCTCTGAAAAACATGTCAGTTCCAAAATATATTGTTTTCCTTTAAAACCTTCTTTAATATTAAAAGATTCAAGTATTTTTTAAATAAGCATAAAGAGTCTGGAAGTGAAATGCACAGCAGTCTGTAATGGACTAGAGCAGATTAAATGCATCCTTAATGTGGGCGGGTGATAATGGTACAGCTGCATTCACCTTCTTTTGCCCTTTGCACAGATACAGAACAAACCGTTGAAACAATGGGATGAAGCCTTCCTTCCTACAGTAGTCTATTTCTATATTCATTCTTCTATTTTACCTGTCTACATATATATATATGTGTGTATATATATATGTGTGTGTGTATATATATATACACACACACATATGAATAATAGTACTAACAATTTGTGTTACTCTATAATTACATAAAACATTACAAGGTGGACTTTCAAGTGAAGACCAAGCCTTATTTTATGACTTATTCATCACACTACCTATTCTTTTTCAATTACCAATTGGGATTCCTATCGAAGTGTTTGGAAGGCTGCCCTGGATGAAAAGCAGAAGAAATATCTTTCAACCCTTCTCCTCATCACTTGAGCAAAGCCTGATCTGTGTGGGGCAGGTCCGGTGGCTTTTCTTCTCCTCTCTCCCTAGGAGAGAAATTTGATTTAATGGCACAGTCTAAAGACCATGTTTTAGTAGCGAACCTTCAAAATAATTTGTTTTAAAAATTGAGGTTTCTCTGCGTGGTCCTTGAGTATCCCAAAACTCTTGCCTTGGTCTCTATGTAGGAAATAATTAGATCCCAATTGTGTCTAGATTCCTGTAGTAGTGGCTTGATTCTGCCTTTATTCCTCAATGTTGTGATACTACTTGATTCTTTTGAGTCTTATCTTGAATTCTAAGTTAGTTTTCTGCTTACAGTCAATCTGATACATGTTTTACATGAATAAACAGACCAATAGAATAGAAGAAACATTGCATAACTTTTGGAAAGTTACTCTATGGACAATACCCTAGAACACTTAATTCTGTAAGATGGCATCCTTGTTTTATAAACTATTGTCATTCCTGAAGGCATTTATGTGCCTTTCTAGAAAATGTCTGGTTGAAATAATGAACATTTACAACCATTACCAAATTCAACAACACTTCAGTTTTAGTATGTGGGCACAAGTCCAAGACTAAGTGAGCATCCACCATCTCTATTCTTCCTTCCTTAGGCTACACGATGGAAGTTCTCAAATGTTATATTGATTTGTGAGAATTTTTCTCACATATTTGTAGGTAGCATAGAATACTCTTAAGTTGAAAACAACAGAAGTGAACTCTCACAAACTTAAGCAGAAGGGAGGGTATTGACTGAGATAACACTGTGGCATTTCAAGGAACTCAACAGGAGTTGACCAGCCATGCTGTGGAAGGAGAAGAAAGGCAGCTGGCTTCTAGATCTTCTGGAATAAGAAATAAAATTCATGTGTCTTCTGCTGTGCTGATGTGAATGCACTCATTTTCAACAAGCCCCAGCAAGTGGCCTTCTATGTTTCAAATTTTAAATTTCTCAGAGAGAAACTGGCTCTGTCTGGGCTCCTGTTGAGCATGGTCCATGAAGCAGGCTGGGGATTCAGACTTGAGATATTGGCAGTACAACTGGGACCAGCTTTCGTGCATCAAATATCCCTTCAAGAAATAGAGACATGGCTGTGAGAAATCCATACACCGTAGGCGTCTTATCCTCTGGAGTTCAAGTTATATTGCATGGTAGGTACTGAAGAAGATTAATGTGACTTATTGCAACCAATACTTGTTTGATACTGAGATTGGCATATGAAGTTTCTAACGTTTCCTTGGGTCACTGATGGCAGACATTCAAGTGAAAATCTAGGATCTTTTAAGTGTAGCTGGGTTGCAGAATTTCAATCACAATACATCTTGTATATAAAGCAAAAATAAAATTTATTTTCTTTATTTTGGTTGCAGTTTATCTAGACTTCTTCCCAAGCCTCAATCAGTAGTGAATGAGGTAGAGAAGAGAAATTAATTAAATGTCCCATCAAGTTTGGAGCTGTCAGGCCTGATAATTTAAGCTGTCTTTCTCAGTTGGTGTTCATTCTTCCATTTGGATAAAATGCCCAATCTCTTATGTATTCACCCCCCTGCTTCTTCCCCTAAGATGATGTCCTGGTGTGTGAGGAAAGGTGAATGCAATTAATGGATCCTACTGGCTATGAGAGTAAGTAGGACTTCTTACACTCATGTGGAGCCCTTGCATTATCTTCTGACACTCCTGTTACTGAATCCATTTCCTCTCTGATCTCTAGAAGCCTGTTTGCATTCCTGGCCGCAGTCTGGGGCTGGTGAGCTCATGGTCCTTTACTTTGGCTTGCACAGAATGATAGGGAAAGGGTATGCAACTCCTCCTGTGGCCATGGTCTTGGCTCAGGTCTCTTTATCGGTAGAATTCTGAGTCCCTGCCATGAGTTCAATCCAGTTCACTGGCCAGTGGTCCATCCCCAGTGGCTGCTGTGGGGCTGTCTTATCCTGACAGCAGCACCTATGCCTCAACTAACCAAGAGTAGCCAATGAAGCTTAACCAGAGGGCCCCTCTCTGCCTAAATATGTGACAAGGACAATGGTCATTTTGATGTAGGCTTTGTAAGAAAGGTTGGGTCAATTCTTACATTTATTGAGGACAAAAACATATGAAGATTATCTAGGCTATCACCTTTAATATCCAGGGTCTGTTTATTCCGGGCTTTAAGATTTGCTGGACATGTCCATGAGATGAAATATTGAGGTCTAAGATTATTTCCATGTGTGGACAAGACACACTTTACAGAATTTCTCTGATGAGATGATACAACTTGTGATCTGATAGGTCAAGTAGAAATCTTCTCTCCAACAGTAAAATTATATTTGAAATTGTTCAGTGACCAATCTCACCCCAATATCTGTCCTAATCTGGTGAACTATGGGGATTTCCCAAGGTTTCCTAAGCCTAAATGGAAAATCTGATGTTCTTGATGTAGTCTCTGGATCTCCAGAAGTCATTTATTATTACCATATACATCCTAATAGCAGGGAGTTTTTTTCTGACTAAAACTGGTACAATAAATGACCTTTCAATCAAATATAACTATTTGTATTAAAACAACATAAGCAGTTGGACTCCAAGTCTAGCATCGTGCTTTGAGAAGTAACTCAAAGACGTTTTGTCGGTAATACCTCGCCCAAACTCAGTAGCTGGATTCTGACTAGTATTCTCTTTATTGTTTTCTGTTTTAACTACCTTGCCTACAGAAGTCAAAAATGAATTTTCCACATAACTGACTTTTTAAAATGCTGCCTCTCTTTAGTCTCTCCATATGGTATGTTTTCTTTGTAACCAGAAAGTCGTTACAGAGTATAAGTAAACAAATAAATGTAAATACATAGATTTTTTTCCCCCCATACTGACCTTTCCAGAGAATGTTATGATTCTCTGTCCTCTGCCACTCATGACTCTTCCGTGGCTGGATCTGACCTGCTTAGAACTTATAAATCCTTAACATTTGGGGGGTGTCTATTCAGCCCAGTTTGCCCGCGTCATGTAAGTTATTTCCTTTGAAAAACGCACATACATTTTCACTGGGTCCACAGGCCTGGGGAGTTTCTGTGGGCCTAAAAGTGAGAATCTGTGTCTCCCAAATCTCTTTCTTCCCTTCATGAGTACTGAGAGCTAGGTGATGTGGAGCCAGGCTCCTGCTGGTACAAGCATCTCCCGCCCTTCTTCTATGCACTCCACCAGCGACATTCACACGCTCATTCATTCCCTCCACAGAGAATACTTGAGCATCCTCACTGTTTCCCAGACAGCGGAGGGTAGAAGGTGGATAGAAAACTGAATTCTCTGTCTCTCACCACAATTTACATTTAATTCCAGCTAGTGTTGTTTCTCTTACTTGGAGAGGGGTCTAGCTAACGAAATACGTTAAGATCAGATTATGGTCATCACAACATTAGCAAACAAAAGGTATAGAAACTAAACTCACATACCAAGAGTCACTGTGATAGTCTTTATCTTCAAAATTTCTATTAGATTATTATGTCTCATGCTTGCAGACACACTGAGCTATCGTGTGTTTGGAACATATGGACTAAAACTTGGAAGACAACCTGCATCAGGCATAACAGACACCAAAAGCAGAGATATACAGACCTATGCTAAGGCATTGAGGAGTCCATCTTCCCAAATTACATGATAGCTTCAATCATACTATAATAATTTGCCTCCTACAGATGGAGTTCAAGAGGAACCCATCAATGAATAAAAATATTGCATCACTTAATATAAACCTTTGGTGTATATTACATGTATGATATGATAAATCAAATTATAGTTTAGAATTTTATCTGCTAGCTATATTTATTGACATATGTACTGATTTTAATCTTCAAGATAAGCTTTGTGACTCTTTTTGATAGCATCATTGGTTCAGTCTCTGTATATGTGTATGTTAGATGTATTAGACCTGTGTGTGTATATTTATACATAGATACACACACATACTGTAAGCATATATGCCTATACATTTTTTATAGATAAATAAATCTTCTTTGAGCACCTTGTGTTCCATAACTAGTATTTGCATTTGAATTTTCATAAAAAGTACTTTATTCTTGCTAAATAATTGTATTTAAGACCGCCTGTATAGCAGCATAGTAGAGTTTACTTCTTAAAACATTTGCTTAGTTACCCAAAGAAGTCCCTAAAATTCCAACACGTGGATCCTATAAAAGCACTGACAAATTGGACAAAAAGCAAATTTGGACTTTTCAATATCATCAATAGCTATGAAACAAGCAAGTGGCTCTGATGGTAAGGCTACAGGAAAAAGACTTACTGTTGGGTGATCCTGGAAATCACAGTCTATGGATCCAGACCTGCCAGTCATGGCCCACACTGCCATTTTCCTCTTCCTTATGCGAGGCTGTGGCATATTTACCAAATGACATCTCATGCTGTTTTCACACTATTGTTTCTTCAACGTCTTCTTTAACTAACTTTCATTTTGTTCTTCAATCTGTTGTATGTAGTAAGTAGGGAGTCTATCAACAAATGACTAACACTCTTGGTGACTCTTCTCGCCCACAGCGCTTGGCTAACAGGTGCAAAATAGTGAACTGAGAGACTTTGCGGTGAAAGGATAATTTATTGTAATGGCAAAGACCTCAGCCATTACATTTCAGAAATGGCATCTGGAAGTACCCCTGGAACACCACTCCCCTCAGAACTCTAGAATAGCCACAACATTATGGATTGGCAAAAGTTAATTTTTGACCCTCTACAAAGTTACATGACTTTTTTTGTTTTTGCTCTGGATGGGTGGGGTGAGGTCCCTATGAAGCTAATTGGTATTTTTCATCTGCTAATCTATATCCTATGTGGAATTACTTAGGCAGAACCCCAGAGTCAGAGTGAACTTTTCTTTGTGCTCTTCTCTTAAGCAATTTATTTGTCATTTACTCTATCTCCATCTTTACCAGTTTGCTGTAATTTGATTTAGATTAATGATATGCCAATATGTGAGCCAGGGAAAAACTTCTTTCCTTTATAGCACCCTATGAATTGATGAAGGGCAATAACAATTTCAAGGATAAATTTGGGCTTGAAAACTGAGTTCCCACCACCTGTCAGTCCCCTGGTGCTTCGCCATCTTATCTAAAGCTTCTTCTGAGAATATCACAGCAGGTTGTCCCTGATTGCTAGTACATTCTCCCAAAGGGGGGACAAGTGTAAGAAGAACATTTGACACAACACAGTCTCTCATGAGATGACTCCCAGTGAAGGTCATTGTTTAAAGCAGAGCCATATTTAGCAGCTCTTCGGGAAAACACCACAGTGCATTTTATAAAACATACCAAGATGGCAAAACCGTTCAGTCCTATTGGAGAAGAGTGTTTATTCTCTATTTCTCCCCTTCTCTAAAATGGGCGATTGCTTTTCTGCCAAAGCGGCTCAAAAGGACCATGGAAGCTAAGGTCCTTCAAAGCTGTTAAATGCATCTTCAAATTTACAATATAATCAGCATGACAAATCTTCCAGTGAAATCTCTGGAGCATCACAGCAGCGCCTGTACAATTCTCCTTTCAGTCAGTATTTTAGTATTCCACACCTTGAGAAACAGAGAAAGCCAATGTGGGCGAGGAAGGCTAAGCAAAACAAAAACCAAAACAGAAAAAAAAAAAAGCCACCACCAACAAAGACAGTGGGGGAAAAAAAAAAAAAGCAAACAGCCACGCGCGCTATTAAGCATATGCCAAAGTAAACAATCGGTGTGGGTTTGCCACGGCTGTGCCCTGCAGGTAGAAGGCAGGCAGCACGGGAGCAAATGGAAGGGGAAAGAGAAAGAGAAGCAGGAAGTGGAGGAGCCGGGAGCAAGGCGGCCTGATTGTGAGCCGCAAGACACACCATCAGCCATGCAAAACAGGACATACCTTTCTGGCTTGCTGGTTCTGTCGACTGAGACAAAGCAGTCCCGTTCGCAGCGGGAGGCCAAATCAAAATGAAATTTTATTTAGTCTGCACTGTCCCCAGATTGGGTTTCAGAATGACTGCTTTAGGAGATAGCATGGATGTGGCTGATGCATGCTTTGCATATGAAACTGCAGTAGGAAAAGAAATCTACATAATCAAAAAAATCTGTGCTCTGTGTGTGTGACAAAAACCCTGTGGACTCCAGTGATTTCGCTGCCGTGTATGTTTCAAGCAGGCCCTTTCAGGGTTGAAAGACGTTAAAAAAATTTCTAAAAATAATGCTATTAACAAATATTAATAAATCTATAACAGCCTTGTTTATGAAAATATATGCAATTTCCTGGTTACAACTCTGCCACATTAAAATAATTGTGATTTCTAGTATATTTAAGAGTGTATCAAAAATCTGTGTGAGAAAACAAATTGAATTTAAAAACAAGTGCAGGCTATTTTTTGGTTTTTTTTTTGGAGAGGGGTTGTTCCAACAATTACGATACTCCCTCAACCTTGATAAAATAAATTAAAAGCTTAAGTCTTAAGCAATATGGAAATTAACACTAGGAGCCTCTTTTGACTTTTCTCTGGGAAGACACTTAATCATATTTAGACATTATTTTTAAAAAAAGGGCAAAAGTCTTTGAAAACACTTTTTAGACGTTGGAAATTATATTTTTGAAATTAAGAAAAGGGACTGTAAAGTGTATATAGAACGCATATCATGGAATCTCTAAATAGAGACATGTGCTGTATGTGTGTATTGTACACACACACACATACCTATGATGGTCTTAATACAGGGTTACCTCCTGCTTTGGGCAGGAAAAGGAAGTGATATTCAAGGTGCTGTGAAACAAGGGGGCAGAATAGAGCCTGTTGGTAAATATATATTATTTCTCAAAGAAATACTTATCCCAGCTTGGTTTTGATAGATCAGTTCCTTGAGGTTGAGTGCTGCCAATCATTTTCTTTAAAGAGGAAATAAAAAGTAAAAGAAACAAGAAATAGAAAAAAAAATACCTGTATAAAATGATAGCAAAAAAAAAAAAAAAAAAAAAAAAAGGTAAGACAGGCTCTCCCACTGCACAGTACTCTGAAAAAAACATGGACCATTGTCGTTCTGTTTTATGAAGTATTCCCAAGGATGGGAAGAATATGAAATCTGCCCATTTAAGCTCTGAGGAGGCAGTCTCCAAGCCACGACCCAGAGCAGCGTAAAAACTTCTCACAATAATGAGATACAAATAGCTCAAACAATGTGCTTCCACACACAACCCCAGCAGAAATCACGAACAGCAGAACCATGTACCGACACCCCTTAGAGAGACAGTCAAGCCTAATTCTGGGATTTGGGTTTTGACATCATTTTCTCAGAAAAGCTTTTCCCTGTTTCAGTTGGGATGGGTGGCCTGTCAATAATAATATGTAAAAATATAAAGGTCTCCTTAAATTGATAATTTTGCATTAGGTACAATGGCATCATGTTCAGCTGTGTACACCATCAGCATATTTAAAGCATAAAATGCAAAGAGAGCAAGTAACATGTGCCTCCTTTATGCTCCAGAACCACCACATCCAGGTCTCCTTATAACAAGGGCAGTGCCTTGGTTTCTCTGTTGCTTTCAAGCAAGACCTTCCTTTGCCTTGTCTTTCCATTATATCATAATTGCTCAGATATTCACTAAGCAGGAGTTTTGCCTGCACGTTATTTTTAGTGACAGGACACCCCTTTTCTAGAGGACGGAAAGATGTGACTTCTTAACAAATTCTCTATCCCCCAAATTCAGTGCACCTGGCATTCACTTTCTACCTAATAAGCATCCGTGAATATGCAAATGTTCAGTGTCTCAGTAACCTCATTAATTTATTCCTCAGGCAATCATAGAATGTGAACCGGTCCTGTGCCACTAGTACTGGATATGGTAGGATCAGGGCTACGAGATTCAGCTGAAAGCTTAGGCTGCATATTGAAACACTGTTTCATCTTTATTCCGTCCTTTGGCACTCTAATTCAAACAAAGACTCTTACCTTCCTCTACTTAACTGACAGCCAAAAGCAAAACCAAAAAAAAAAAAAAAAAAAAAGAAAAAAAGAGAAATACGTAGGGTTAATAATTAAGATCTTCCCTCCCTCCACCACCAAACACAAACCAGAGGTGAACCAGGGCTTGGACAAAATGTCCACAAGAAAACAGTTTCCAACCTACTCAAGTTGTCTTATTTTATTATTTATTGGGGGTTGGCAGGGAGGGTGGGTGGGGAGCAGAGGGCAACCTGCTTTCCATACAGCAATGCAGTTGAATAATCTTTCGCTTTGCCCACATTAAAAGCCCTGAATAATGTTTATAAAATGTTAGGGAATCCCGGTAGGTTTCCTATTTAACAAGCCATGTATGACAAATCACAGTGTAATGTACTACGTTCTTAATCTTTAATTAGAATGTGAATATCTGCTAGAGAACGCAGTTAACTTTGACACGTTAAATCTTCTGGTTAAAGTGCCTTTACAGGAAGAGCAAAGATGAAACACTGTAACAATCTCCCGCTTCTCTCCATTCACCCAGACAGTTGGGGAAGGATGATAACATCTTGTAATACCTGCTCTGTAGTAATTAATCGCTGTGGTATTTAGGACCATTCAAGTAGACAAATATGACAGAGACAGGGACAATTAGAAACCTTGTTCAAGCTACATTAACTTTTCCAGCTATTACAACACAGCAGCTCAAGTTTGCTTGTAAAAGCTGCAGAGGGATTGCTATGCATTAGCCGTGCGATTATTAATGAAAGAAAAGGAGAATTGTGTTTATTGTAGTTTGAAAATTGCAAATAAATTTCAATTATCTGCTATGTCATTTTGTTAAACATGCACTCTGGAAATGCCTTTGTACTCTAAATCATGAGCTACTTAGAGCAAACTAATACCAGAAACCCTCAGGGAGATAGGAAGTCCATATTTTTGTGGAACTGGACTTTTTTTTTTTTTTTTTGGAAGTGAAATTGGAGATGGGCAAAACCACCTGAATGGGCTTTTCAGGTAGCAAGCTCTGTGGCATCTTGGCGTGTATACAGCTGCTGGGTACCAATAGATGTTGAGTCAGATGTCGTGGGCAGACATCAGGGCAATCAGTACCACACTGTTAAAAGGAACCAGAGAAGCTTTCTCTCCTTGGGGAATATCCCCAAAAACAATGATAAGAAATCAATTATGATAAATAAATAACGTCTGCTATCTCTGCTCCTTCCAATAACAAAGTCAGTCTTGGGGAAGAAAACACCTTTGAGAGGTTCTAGTCAGCTGTAGAGGTGATGGAGTCCATGTTTCTGGCAAATGGCTCATGTCTATTTCCTTTCAAGAGGATAACTGCCAATCACTTTGAATGGCAAACTTGATCTTGACACACACACACACACACACACACACACACACACACACACACACACTTGGAAAGCAGCAATAAACACATCCGTTTCTCTGTTGCCTTTTGTGAAACTATTCATTTTTCAAAGCATGCAGACCTAATACATCCAACGCCAAACCTGTCCTCGGTGTCTCCCACTCAAACCATGCGACAGAACCACTTTCAAGGGGCTGATGAGGTGTACATCCCACGGCCTGGAAAATGCCCCACGTCTAAACTTCCCACCCACCCTACTGTCCTCTTCCCCAGGCCCAGTCCACAACGTATTTCCACCCAATTTATTATTCGATTTTACTGCGCATCAGGAATTGAACATGAAAAAAATAATTCTGGTGCGCCTTGGAGCTGGGGACCTGATCCAATTGTCTTCTGTAAATCAAAGAAAGACCAGCTTAGCATGGCACAAATCTGCGTCCCCACCCCAGAATCTGTTGTCACACACACACAAAAAACCCCGCTCAGTGCTCAGGAACAATCTCCCCTCTCAGCCGAGCTGCGATGATGTCAGCTTTCTGATTACAAACTGCTTATTTATGCTTCAACAGCTGCCAAGAGCAGCAAATAAGTGGCTAAAAGAGTGTCTAGACCAGGCTTTCAGGCCGCTATTGTCTGGGGGTTGTTACCTGGTTGACAGCGATGGGTCCAGCTGCCTGGTGTGAAAGGGAGCAGAGATGGCGAGGCCATGATTGACAGAAGGCCCTCGGGGTCAGCCCGATGGCCCCACGTCTTTATATTCCCGGCTCCAAAGGGAAAGCCAGGGCCCTGCCTGGAGGTTGGAGGTGAAAGGAAATGTTGGAGGGTAATGAAAAAATCTTTTGGTCAAATTTGCGATCATGAACACTTACCCCAGGGAATCAAAGCCAGCGCAAGTGGCCACAGAGTAGCCAGAAATGGGTACCTCTGGTGAAAGAAGTGAGGCATTTCTTACCAACCTCACAGGCCCCTGGAGGAGCTGGGGAGGATGCATAGGCACACATAAATTCACTTTCTTTTTTTTTTTTTTACGTCTTTTTTGTTTCATTTTATTCTGTGGTGTAGGATGAGGAAGCTTGAGCTAATGCCTTTGTTACCACCTTTTTAACACCATCCTGATAGTTCGAGGACACTTTCAGAAACCTTCCCTTTTAGTACTTTCAATGGAAGGCTGACAGAACATGAAACACTCCAACATTTGGGGAAAATAAGGAGCTTTGCAAGCTGACGTAAATGTCTAATTAGAATTTTCCACCACCACCACTTGCAACCTTTGAATCTTCCTTTCCCATTTGTTTCCAGCCACGCTCTCCATTTTAACACTTTTCAGGGTAGATTTGAATGTACCAAATCGCTGCCTTCATCCTGGCATCTCACAATTCATTGCAGTTGATTGGCACCAAACATTTGTGGCTTCAACCCTGCTCCTCCCCCAACCCCATTTTATAGTTTGGGGTTCTTGTGAAGAAAAGAATACTGCTAACTCTTGATCACTGAGACACACTCATTTGAATATAATAATCATAATGAAATCACTTCTTCCATGGAGCCCACCCTGTGGTTATTGCTACTCAAATACTTTGCTCCTTCTCGGGAACTGGCGCGTTATTATTTCGACACCATTGTTCCTATAGGGTAATTAATAAAGTACAGCTCCCGGGCAAAGCAACGAATGCTCCTACTTTCACATTCTTATTTACTTTTTCTCCAAGCGTTAAAAGCACAGTTTCTTCCAAATACTGGCTGTGATCTAGGATCCGAATAGGACAAATCAGATGACGCTGTAGCCTTAAAAATGGTTGC